AAGTACTATTAGTGTAAGTGTTATTCGAAGGCGTCTGACACCAATATTGTTCGATGGCGTTACTATAGTTGTAACTGCGATTATAAAGTCTCTGCTACAACGAGCATTACGAAAGTGACAACGAGTATTCGTTGGCATCACAAAAGTGGCAACGAGTGTTAGTTGGCATCACAAAACTTTTCCAAAGATATTTGGACTTAAGAAGATATAACGAACTCGACTGGAATTCGAACTGATTGTTCCGATTTCCCAATTCCGAACGGCTATCCCTTGCACTCACTCGCGCATCATTGGTTACATACCGGCAAAAACACAAATACACACATACTGACACGTATACACACGCATTCACACATACGTGTAAACATCAACACGTACATTCGTCTATGAACCCATACAGAGAGAGAGAGAGAGAGAGAGAGAGAGAGAGAGAGAGAGAGAGAGAGAGACACACATCTAAGAATATGTATATATTAACATACGCACAGATACAATCACTTACGTATTTTAATATTTACGCATTTAATATTTGCATACTGATGCAGACGAACACAAAACCACACACACATACACACACACACACACACACACACACACACACATATATATATATATATATTAGGGTTATGACGTGTCATAAATCGATGAACATTTGATCAAAAGTAATGAAAAAGGAATTCATTTATTTTAGTTCTTAAAAAAGGTAACCTCCCGACCATTTTACCATATACACGATAAGGATAAAAAGTCAAAATATTTCAAAAGCTGTATTTGCTAATGCTGTAATTGGTCAGTACTTATTTATTTTTAACGCATTTAACAATTTATACTATAGAATAGCATACAAACTTACTAATTAAACAAAAACAAGTTAGAAGGTTCCAATGTTCTAGAATGCTCAAGGAAGTTCTAGAAAGTCCCAGAAACTTCTAGCATATTGTAAACTTTTCCTGCTGTTCTAACCTGAAATGAATTCGGCCATCTTATCTGAACACAACTGGTTCGGGTCCGAAGAAGAGTGTTAGTTGATCCGGAAAAAAATTTACAGAAAATGATCTGCGCGGGTAAAATTTATAATAAGAAAGTCGTTAAACGGATGTAATCCTAAGCCAAGATGTGGGAAAATCTTTATCCAGCGACATGAGGAATCCTTACAACCGGATACCTCCAGGCTGCTGTAGATGACCAGCATCAATGCACTGACTGAACCCATGGCACTTGCCAACAGTGCCTACATGACCGTTGGATCTGTAGGAGATCTCATTCGTCCACTCCGCCGGGAATTCAATAGGACTGATAGACTAAAAATTTGAATCATTCGACTACTCACACATGGTTTGCCCGCCAGTTGAAACGGTTTACTGGGGTGTGGCAACTTTGCATGCAGCTAGAAGACACAGTTGAGAGTTAGGTGCCGGGTGGTAACCAACGCCTTTTGTCATTAAATAATAGGATGATTCATAGCTTATATGGAGTCAGAATGAGATAACTATGCAACGCCCGAACAATGCATATAAAACCCGCGAATATTGCGAGGAATACGAGCAACAATAAAGTTCATCTAAGTCTCGAGAGCCACTGCTGCTTTCCATCATGCAAACCCAAACTCGTGTCTACCTTTTCCTTCTCATGTAAACCAAAACTATATCTGCCTTTTTTTTTTTACTCTCATTCATCCGTGCATTAAATACTAGATTGGCAACTAGGTCCCACCATTTTACTGTTTAAATAGCCAAACACAGCCGCCACTTCTACTCCAACAGTTTCTTTTCTTACACTTCCCACCTGTGAAAATCCCTTCTATTTCATTGCTTTCCTGATAACTACAATCTTCAAAAAATTAAATGCAACATTAATCAACACCATCTTGCGCACATTTGGTCGTGATGCATCGACCGGTATATAAACATCAGACTGGGAGTCATGATGTCATTGTTTGTTTTTTTTTTAATATTTTTAACCCAACGTTATTTTATTGGCGTGTCAATTTCTCACTCAATAATAATGATAATAATATTTATAATAATATTCATGATAGCATTGATAATGATAATAATAACAATAATATTGATAATGATAATGCTAAAATGATGCTATATAATCATTGATACTATATTAATATTGTTAATAATAATAATGCTAATGCTAATAGTAATTTTCATAATGATAATAACAATGATAATAATGATTATAACATTGATAATAATAATCATGGCAATAATAATGATAATATTAATATTGATAATAATACTGATAATATTGGTAGTAATAATGATGTTGCTGATAATGCCAATATTGATGATATAATGGAATATGCATACACCTGTGTTCCCCCTCACTGGAATATGATTGGCTGGTGTCCGTCATAAATACAGACGGACTTGTAGGTACGACAGAGTTTAAGTCTGTGACGACGCTCATTGGACTACCTACCATTGGCTATCCTATTGGTCTACACCTATTACCTGCGACTACGACGAGTACCAGTCGATTACTGCTACCGTGTACTACTTGGTTATAGTAGCCAAACCCATTTAGCTACTTCGAGCAAATATATCCCTTTCCGGGACATATCAATTGATTACAGCAATAATGAAATAGAGTCCGACATCGTTGGACTCCATGTCAATGCTCCTAAAACTGAATTCATAAACTTCAACCAACAAGGCTCACTACAAACTCTCTCAGGTGAATCAATGCTGCAAACGATGTGAATATTCGCTTGGCAAAAGCCTGTGCCTTCTTAAAATGGATGTAATATGGAAATCTGATCAACCAGACAACCTCCAGCGGAGATTCTTTCAAGCCACTTTAGAGTTGGTTTTAATGCCTGGTGCCACGACTTAGACATTAACTAAAACCCTAGAGTCTAAGCTTGGTGGGCCTACACCCTGATGCTAAGAACTATATTTAACATCTCTTGGAGACAACATCCAATTAAACCAGAGCTCTATGGACCCAACCCTGATATTTTTACAATCTTATGCGAACACGGAATGCATTTTGCAGAACACTGCTGACGAGCAAAGCAAGAACTTGCTAGTGATCTACTGCTCTGGACACCTAGCCATGGAGCAAGATGGGTTGGTCGCCCAGCAACCATCTACTATCTTTGTTATGAAACAGAATGCCCCCCCTAATGACCTTCCAATCTTGATGCAGGACCGTGATGATTGGCGTAATAGACACATGAATGTCCGAGCTAGCTTGACAGAATAAAATAATAAGGAAAATTATAATATTGATAATAATAATAATAATAATGTTGACAATGTTAAAAATAACGATAATGCATATAATAGTTATAATAATAATAATGATCATGATAATAATATGATAATGTTGATGTCAGTAATAATATTGATAATGGTATTTTAATCTTATAGCAATATCGATTTAATTTAAAATCTAGCACATTGTTAATATTTTTCCGATTAAAATAGCAATCATTTCAAGACATTAGACAACAAAGTTCTTTGTTCATCTTGTATTTGTTGTAAATAATAAAATGTGTAATCTCAGAAGATGCTATATCTATAATCTATGAAGATACTATACCTATACAGTAGAAGAAATCTTTTCCCATTCCAAGCTTCCCGATCTCTTCGGGTATTCCTTGTCCATAGTGACCCATGTAAACATTTTCACTACTGTTCATTGATCGAAGCAAGCTGCCCAATTCCTCGCCTTTGATGAACACATCATCGTCGGCACGTACGAAATATTCGTAGTTATCTACGTGGTTAAGGTACATGTATTTGAGCATCTCAAACACTTTTCCCTGTGGAGGATAGACGTTGTCCGGCACTCGGTTCAGTCTTATCAAAGGTAGACCGTCGGGGGCCGGATCAGTGCTATTGCCAACGAAGTACACCACATCGCCAGGAATGGTTTTCGTCCATGTCATTTGGATGGCCCAATCTCGCGAGTTGAAATATTTATTGCTGGTCATTACACCGACAAGCATCAGTTTTCTTTTTGGTCCCTTGTGAAAGTGGAACTCCCCCAGATCCTCAATAAAATCGGGTATGGAATGACTTTCCACCTATAATAAATAGAAACATACCAAAAATAATACCAACTAATAGCAAATTATCTCAAGTTCTATACACACGAAATAATTAATTACATACTAAATATTCAGCCAATACAAACACTAAGAGGCAGTCAAAGTAGAGTGTTAAAGAATGAGGTTGTTGTATAGACGTTAGAGTCGGAAATAAGTACAGATTATAGGGATATGTAGGATAGAAAATATTTGATCTGGGGCCTGAAGAAGATTAAGTGGAGGCACGGTGGAGTAATGGTTAGCAGTTCGGATTGAAGGATCGGACAGTAGAGTTCGAATTCCAGTTGTGTTCATTACATTCACTTAGGTGCTAATACCTTTGAGAACGCTACGAATCTATCTCTACTCGCCTGGCTATGGGTAAAATAGCAGGACAGAATGTGTACTATAGCGTTGGATCGTATGGCAACCAGTCTTGGAGAAGGAAACTCTGAATTCAAACTGGATCGCACTAAAATGTGTCTATATGCGGCTGGAGACCGCTTGTGAATCCAAATTTCCATTGAAACTTCGAATTTGGATTTACACATCTGTAATAAATACGACTTAGACAACTTTCGTTCGGATGCAGCAAGTTCATTTTACCTGTTGCGACCTGCTGAATGTCGCGGCAGGTTCGTTTTAACTTTTGCGACAAGGTGAATGTCGCAGCAGGTCCGTTTTACCTGTTTCGACCGTGTGAATGTCACAAAAGAACCGTGTTACCTCTTACGACCGGGTGAATGTCGCGGCAGATTTGTTTTCCCTGTTGCGGCCGGGTGAATGTCGCAAAAGATCCGTTTTACCTGTTATGGCCGGGTGAATGTCGCAACAGGTCTGTTTTACCTGTTGCCACCAGGTGAATGTCGCGGCAGGTTCGTTTTAACTTTTGCGGCCGGGTGAATGTCGCACAGGTTCGAGTTACCTGTTGCGACATGGTAAATGTTGCAAAAGGTCCGTTTTAACTGTTTCGACCGGATGAATGTTGCGGCAGGTTCGTTTTACCTTTTGCGATCGGGTGAATCTCGCGGCAGATTCATTTTACTTGTTGCGACCGGATGAATATCGCAACAGGCAAATGATCAGTGATCATGGAAGGAACAGACTCATGAGCGGCTCTTCGAGTGGGGCTTCCTTCATACGAATGGAATACGAGGATGATTTGTGGTAGGTCGGGTACTACCTGTTAAGCTCTGAAATGGTGGAATGTAGATCGCCTGAACATTTGCCATGATTGAGCAGTGATAGACTTGAAGAGGTCGGGACTGGAAAAAACATCTTTGCGGGAGTCTATGCCACAAAGCTGCAGTTTTGGGGAAGAAGCTGTCTAAATGGAACTTACTCCTTACTAATGGAATACGAAGGGAATAGGGATGATTCACATCTGTATACACGGCATGGCAGGTCCCAGTTGTAAAAATCAGAGTTGGTGGAACCAAGGAACATAGCCATGAAAATTGTGATAGAGTAGCCAGGGCTTGTGATATTTTGTCTGTGGGAAAGGGGTCATAGGATGGAAAAAAATTCATCACCCACAAGGGTGTGTAGACAATTTTGAGTTAGTTCTATCAAGATAGGTAAATGAGGACTGTGCAGCTCGAGCACAGTTATGGCAGCAATACTCCATTTCCTGTACAAAGAAAAAAATTGTATCCTGAGAAGTTACTTTTGTGTGTTTAGTAGGATATATAAATGATATTGTTTATCATGCAGTGCTGAAAGGTAATGAGACTGGCGCTTGTAACTGATAGTGTCGTGAACTAAATACACAAAAGGAGTTTAATTTAAAAAAAACAAAAAAACGAGCGTCACTGATAAGCTGGACAGGTGTTATGAAATACAGGATTACATATCAAGATGCATAAAGGAAAAGATTTTAGCTTTAAATATAAAAATTTTAACTTATTTATCCGAATCTGGTGAATTTTCTCCATTGAATATTCCCATTTTTCGATCTTTGCAGCGCTTTCTGCATTGAGGAATAGACCAACTAATTAAGAAGAGGTTAGAAAAACCTTTGGTCGCAAAATTCAGAGTATTTTATACATACACCATCACTTTTTGCAGGAGGGACAACTCAAAACCGCCGACTCAACACAGCCGACTCAACACTGCTGAATGACTGCCGAAACAACTCAGTACCAGAAAAATATAACTTTTTTTTTATAACCGAATATAAGTCATTTATTAAGGACTAAAACATTAATTAGCGAATATTTTTTAATTATTTTTTAATAAACTAAATTAACATATAAAAATAATTCAATAAACGCACTTGTTTTTAATTATTTTTTAATATAAGTAAATTGAAAAATGCAAAACAAAATGCAGCAATTTATTTGTTTTTAATTATTTTTAATGAGGTAAATCGTAGTGTAACTTATTTTTTTAATAAAGTAAATCAAAATTCTAAAATATTAAAAAAAATATTCACTAATTAAGGTTTTAATCCTTAATAAATTACATTTATTCGGTTATAAAAAACGTTATGTATTTCTGGTGCTGAGTTGTCTCGGTCCTGAGTTCTCCCGGCGCTCAGGCGATGGGGTTCACTCAGCGGTGTTGAGTTAACCTGCACCCGCTTTTTGCGTCAAAAAGGTAGATATAGACCCACTTAATACTAGAGGGGAAAATATAAATATAGGTTTGGTTTACATTTGAGTCAGAAAGCTAGATATAGAAGCTATTTCACTTGAGTTGAAAATGTAGACATAAATCTGGTTGACACGAATCAAATAGGGAGACGTTAGTTGTATTTTCAGCCCCGCTGACAAGACTGATGTTAATAAAATTTGGGAAGTTGGGAAAATAAAATGAACAAAAATCTTCGAATGTTCATTACTGAAGTCAATGCTTCCCATATCAATCTGCGACCAATACGAGTGCAAATCTTAAGAATCTATAATGATAACAAAAAAAAGGAAATAAAAGATTTACACTATTTACATCGTTCGCACTGTTGTCTTCATCTTTATTTCCATATCCACTACATTTCGGCCGTTGTGCGCACCAGCCTTCTTCAGGTGATATACGTTCGAATTTCAATAAAGATATGGACAACAGTCTGAACGATGTAAATGGTTACAATACCTCATCTCAAAAATATAGACAGATCCTGGAGAAAGCCGGGGCATAGAACGGTTAAAACGTTGTGAATATGGAAATAAAGATGAGGACAACAGTCTTAACAATGTAAATAGTTACAATACATCTTAGAAATATAGACAGAAATAATAGATGTTAAAAAGAAAACATAGAGCAAATATATTTACATTCAAATTTTGGAGTATAAAGCTTCATGAAAATTCTTCAACAGAAAAATAGTCGTAAATAATAAAGCATCAATAAATATATGGAAACACTTGACATTTCCCATGTTCTTTCGTTGTACGCCAAAGCAACTGGAGTATGACGCAAAAAAGGTTGCGATGTTTACTCCGTCCAGACGTCGACCAGATGTCATAGAGACAGGATAAATTGACGTTGCACCTTTTATGTTATTTAATTAATAACAGAAATATCAATAATTATTGTATGTTAAATTAAAATCTAATAAAAATTCTTGAATAAAAACGAAAGTAAGAAGAATTTTTTTACGGCTTATCAACCCTTTACGAACTATTTAAGGTCAAAACATGTTTTGGATTATAAGACAAATTCCTTTTTTTGCGAATGAATATTAACAATTTTTTCGTCGAGATTAAAATGATTTTTATACAAATCTTACTATTTAAGCTATAACGGTGGGGGGCAGGGGAGAGACGAGATTGATTCATATCTTATCTTTCCGCAAGGGTATTAATACATAAGGGAATGTAACGAACTCGACTAGAATTCGAACGGTTCTCCGAATTTCTCATTACGAGAAGCTATCCATTACACCACCCACACATCCTATAGCTAGGCAGGAGACGAAGAGATGGATTCATATCTTTTCCAAGGGTATTAGCGCGCAAGTGATTGTAATGAACTCTACTGGAATTCGAACTCGGCCCTCCGGTTTCATATTCCGAGTCGATATCATTACACCTTCACAAAATAAAGAAACACAGAAATTATATTTCCATCCGGAATGCTGGACAGAGATATATGTTCACGCTTGAAATAAAAAAAAAAAAAATCTTGAGAAACACTGATTTAGTTGTTATCTTCAGGTTATTGTCCATTATGGATGTTCATAAAATATGTCTAATCAACTACACAATATTTATTTTTATATTCATTCACTTAAAAAAACCCTTTCAGATTCGAATTCAAAGATGCTTAAGTCACCCACTTACCACTTTCTGGGGTGGAATTTTGCATTTGCGTATGAGTACCTCTGGAAAGAAAGTATAGCAGAGGGAGGTGGTCAGTTGAATACCGGCCAGGATGCTGATACAACACACAATGATATCCCCGAGGATTTTCTCTTTTCTACGAAGACGTTTACTTATAATACTCGGCCGTATTGGCATCGGGTAGACGTCCCTTACGTAGCCCATGTCGTTTGGATCACGGGAGTAACCCAAAAGGAAACTCCCTGCTTCTCTGTCCGACGTCCTAAAAAGAGAGAGAGAGAGAGAAAAAAAAAATTAAAAACGTATTAAATAATGGTGACAGGCAGAGAATTTTAGAAGTAGAACAACCTGCAATTCTAGACCAAACATTTTTAGTTCTGTCGGGTCGTTTTAAAAAGAACAATTCTACCCTAATCATTCCAATTATTAAGTCTCGTCATAAATAATTCCCGTTTTTGCTTATCAACAGAAAGATAATGAACATATACCGGAAGCTGACGTAAGAAAAAAAACAAAAAAAACAAAACAAAACAAAAAACAAGATGGACGTTTTCAGCAAATCCCCTGACGAAACAAAAGATTTTTGAACTTATTTTATTTCTTTGTGAAATGTTAGACAATCTATCTATCTATCTATCTATCTATCTATCTATCTATCTATCTATAAAAATTCAGATATAAATATATCTGTAAAGACAATACAAAGAAAAGAAAAGTTTTCCTTTTGTTTTTTCTTTATATATATATATATATGAAGATAAGTAGAAAAATAGGAAAGAACACGTTAAGTAAATAATCCGGAGCTCTTTAGTATTTTTGTTTTTATTTTTAAAAAGCACTTCTCCATACAGAAGTAGAGTTTAAAAAGTAGAGCTTGATACTTTAACTCAATTTAATTTTAATAATTATATTGAGGTTTTCGGCTCTCGTTTTTGAAACATGAGAACTCTTATGTAGCGAAGGAATCATATTTTTTAAAAATAATATATATATATATATATATATATATATATATATATATATATATATATATATATATAAATGAATTACATAAAAATGAAACTGAATTGTAACCCATTTTTTATGGCCATTTCGCTCCTTGGGATAAATTCGCTGGAGCTTGTCAATACTAAAACGTTTTAATATGTGAACGACGAGGAAGGTTTAAGTAAAATAAGAAGCTAAAGTTTTTTTTTTGTATTTAGAACCAGAAAGAGAGAGTTGAAATTCCTAGGGCACATAACAAGGAAAAAAAGCTTGGAGAATTTGACACGCACGGGCCATAGTGAAGGTCAAATGGACAGAAGGAAATGGGGAGAAACATGACTAACGAGTTTGTGTAGATGGTTAGCAGAGCAGGGTGTGAGAGGGCTAAGGTGACACATATATTACTAACAGTTAGAAAGGATAGGAAGTTGTGGAGAGTAATGATTGCCCATGTCCTGAACAGACACAACACATAAAACAAGAAGAGTGAGTAAAAAAATAATTGCTGAGGTCGACTGCGTGTAACTAAATCCGCGGAAGACGAAAGAAGCACGGACACGTGAATTTGCATTAAAGAGAATACTTAAATTGGCGTATAAAATGTGTTTTATTGACTAAACATAAAGACAGGTGTTTCGATGGTAAACACGCGCGCACACACACACACACACACACACACACACACACACACACACACACACACGTAGAGGCATTCCTCAAATTTTATTCAGAGCCGCGTTGCAACAAATCAAGTCAGAACGAATACAAGGATAAACATTAAAAATTGATTCATTCATATACGCTTACCACTTATATAACACCTTTATCATATAATCTTTGCCACAACTCTATCCTTGATTAATATTGTCAGCAATTGATATAGTTATAATCACGTTAATTCGGAGAGAAAGATTAATTGTAGAAACTGAATCTGATCGATTGTTTCATTTTCTGCGGCTTATCAGCCTATTGAAAGCCGGAAAATACATTTAGATTTTTTTTCTTTTTTAGATAATGGTTAAGTGAGACAAGTCTTACTAATTAACCCATAGCTGGGGGAGAAGCTAATCAGAATTTGATAAACAAACAATAAATTATAAGGAAGATATAAAACGGTGGACATTATAATAAATGTATAAAATCTGTGATCACGGTAGTTTCTAAACATTTATATTCAAGAGAATGTCGATAAATCTAAAAGACATGCCTGTGTAGCTAATCAGTATTTGATTAATTGATTCTTTTTTACGGCTTATCAACACTTTGCAAGTTATTTAAAGTCAAAAAATATTTTTAGACTGTGAGATTTGTTTTGGAGATAATAATCGTTTAGTGATACAAGTGTTACTAATTGACCCATAGCTGAGGGGAGAAGAGGTGAATTCATACCTTTCCCAATGATATTTGCGAATATAACGAACCCAATTGAAATCGGAACTCGACACATCGATTAACAATTCCAAGCCATTATCCATTACACCACCCGCACATCCAAGCTTACAGAACCTGGCATTCCCAAACAGTTACTTGATCCGCTCGCTAATCGGCATTTTAAAAAAAATTTTTCCCCGGTCTTAATAAACACGCAACAGAACGGAAAAATAATAAATAAATAAAAATTATAAATAAAACAAATAAAATAAAAAAAACATCAACGGAGAGAAAGAATCATGTCTTAATAGCAAAGCAGTTAATAAAACAACACGAAATAAAGATATCAAAAGAAACTAAACTAGTGAAAAGAAAACTCATACGACAAATAGTGAAATTAAGGATGAAAAGGCGCAGAGGATATCTAAATATATATACCTAGCATAGCTCACTCTCCTACAGTACCCTTTTCACTACTTACCTAGAAGGATTTTGGTAATTAGGCACTTAAGATTATTCCCTGGCAAGATGATATCACAAATAATAATAATCATAATGATACATCATCCCAAGGCTGATCGTCTGTATGTGCCCAGATCCAAAGGAGGCAAAGGATTAGTTCAACTAGAACTGTCTTACAAAACTAAAACAATTGGCTTTCAAAGATGCCTAGAATCTACAGAAGAGTGGATGATGATCTATGTCAAAGAACATGAAAGTAGTAAGCGATTTTATTCATTAATAAAGGAAGCCAGCAAGTTCAAAATGTAGTTTTAAGTGGGTGAAGAAATACAAGTAAAACATAATACACTGATTAAAGCTGCAAATTACTTAAAAAAAAGTAAAATCAAATGCAACCGACCAGATACGGCCTCGCCCATACCAAACAAGTTGATATATATATATATATATATATATATATATATATATATATATATATATATATATATAGTATTAATATTTGGAAATTAGGTTTAATGCAAGCTGGTCAAAAGTTTAAATATATATATATATATATATATATATATATATATATATATATATATATATATATAAGCTAAAAAAAATCTGTATTTCTATTTTTCTTTTCTTATTTTTTTTTTTGAGGTTCACTAACAACGTAAAAGGGATATTTTTTTTCTTTATTTTTATTGAGCTTATGTTTGGACGTGTGTGTGTGTCCCTGTGTGTGTTTGTGTGTGTATGCGTACAATCAACACGTATCATTAAGGAAGTTGTGTGATTGACCCCAGATAAAAACTACTGTTTGTTTTATCAATGTTGGTTTACAATGCAATTTTTTTTCATTTTGCTAGTGGGGTGGGGTGTTCGCAAATTGAAAAAACAAAAAAACAAACGAAACTAGTTTAGAATGATATTAACTTGTTTAGTACTCAAGAAATTAAGGAACATATAAACGTGCAATACCTACATAGAACTCTTATCTATCTATCTATCTATCTATCTCTAATCATTATCTTTCTATTTCGGTCTAATCATTATCTATCTATCTATCTATCTATCTATCTATCTATCTATCTATCTATCTATCTTGTCATATTGTTCTCTTGGAACGTGTAGTACAATAAACGCCACTACTATGACAGCATCGCAATTCCCAGCGAAAAGGGAACTTGAAACAATGTATTTTGACCTGCGGGTATTTACGTCCTTTCTTAAAAAAGAGAAGAAAAAAAAAGGATTGAATGTTTCATTCAAAATTTCTGGAAGTGGTTAGCGGAAACTAACGTAAAAAAAACACTGAGATGGATATTTCCTGCCAATCCTCTGTCGAGACAAAGAGTTTTTGTCAACGACCTTGATACATGTGCAGTATGGTGCAGATAAACGCAGAAAAAATAATGGATAATAAGAAACAGCATTTTTTTCATAAACCAAATTAATATATTTCAGTGAAAGTTTATACACAGGCACATATATATAACGTACAATAATCATTCGTTGTGGCCACCATTATCGGCCACTAGTTTCTCTAGGCGAGACCATAATCTGGTAAAGGCATTGGCGACGTCGTCCCTCTCCGTGTTCGTCATGGTATCCATGATAACTGCCTTGAGAGCCACCTTGGTGTTGTAGGGCCTGCTTTTCATCTCCCTATCAAAGATGCCTCAGACAAAATAGTCAAGACAATAGCGATGGGGAGGCATTGGTATGGTGAGCAAGTGGCACCTCTTGAGCATATAAGATTCATAATTAAACCTCCTTCAATACGACCAATTTTTTGTCTCCTGATACCCATTTCCTTATCGATTTTCTTCATACTGTTGCTGGGATTCTTCTTGACAACCTTGGCACCGAACTCGGAGGTACTGTTCTTCTAAGACTCCACATGCTTTTGCAAGGTCGTAGATCATGGCTTTGGGGTATTTGAAACCATTCGATTATTTCCTTGGTTGTGTGTCTGACACGAAGGTTCTCCACAACAGCAGATCGGCGATCGTATTTTGAAGATATGTCGATTACTAAGCCCCTCGTGCGGTAATGGCCATACAACTACGGAGGTATAGTACTTTCTCATGGTGCTCTTAAAACCTCTCTACGCTGTGACGTCACGGCGCTGTTGCTGCGTAAAAATCCCGAACTTATCTGCTCCACAATATATCTAAGTAAATTTTACATTATCTATCTATCTATCTATCTATCTATCTATCTATCTATCTATCTATCTATCTATCTATCTATCTTCTAATAACGTTTGAAGTAATAATAATATCGGATTAAGAATAAATCCATTAATTCTTTAGGAATTCTTTCCGTTTCGAATAAAAACTGGGAAAATATGAAAGGAGAAAATAATCTGAGTGAAGAGGGTGTGCTTCCTTAAA